AGAGTGATTGCGGAAGAGGTCGACAAGTTACTGAAAGTTGGTCACATCGTGGAGATCCAATTTCCAGAATGGTTGTCCAACACCGTGATGGTGTCAAAGTTGGAGGCAAAGTGGAGAACATGCATTCAGATACCTCAACAAGGCATGTCGAAAAGACCACTAATAATTGTTACCAATAATTGACCTTGTTACCAATAATTGACCAGTTGGTCGATTCAATAGCTGAGTGTGAGCTTGATATGGGATAACATACCAAAAGGATTAAACTGGCCAAATAATTAATTCAGCAAACCAATCGAGCAAACTAGCTGAACCATCTTGGTCGAGTAAATACAGAAAAATGAGGGTTGTGGTCGAACATCATGAGCACAAGAGCCTCTCGATAGGAAGATGGCCTGAAGAGGGATTCCGGTGCATGAAGAACATGTCGATCCCAGACTCGTGGAGGGTCTGGTCGAAGATTGATCTGTCGTACAACTGGTCGTTCTATTGACCACTTCCCAGGTTTCAAGCAATCAGCAGACTGAGACATGGTCGAACACTAAGACTCGCGAGAAAATCTAAAAAGAATCAAACCCCCATGTGCGGAGGACATGTGGCGTGTCCTGGTTATTGAATTACCGTCTCTGACACACCTCCAATGTGTGTTGTACAACCGGGAAAGTCGGTAGCTCTAGGGCAACCACCTCAACTAATTCGGGCAGCTTCTTGAACAAGTATCTCACCCCTATATATAGGGAAGAGCTTTACGCTTTTACACATGATTTCTACAATTATACACTTGTTATTGGAATTGGAGTAATATTGACTTAAGCATCGGAGGCTCTTCACAGGATAATCCATCCGGTGTGAGAGTTTTTGTAGGTACTCGGCGTTCTATCGACGAGAAGGACTTTGAGCAGGCCGTTTTCAGCCGGTTATGAGGTTTTGACGTACCAAAGTTGTTTGTCAATTTATGAGAAAACGAAAATTATAATTATCAATTAAAACAAATCACTTTATGTGGAAACTAAATTATAATTATATATTTGTTAATAAAAAGAGTAAATAAAATTATTTTTACTCAAGTGCCATAATTAAAAGTTATAACATTTAGTACTCACGAAATAATGAAATGAAAACATGTGAATTATATATGACGAAAAAATAGTATCAAAATATAGACATTAAATAAAGTTAAAATAAATAAAATTTTTAAAATCAAATTTAACTATCAATTGGATGATATTTCATACAATCTGATGTAGCACCAAAAATAATTCGGTAGACCGTTCTGAGCGATTAGCTCGGATGAGGCCGGTCCAAGGAAGCGTAGAGCCATAATTATTCGGTATATGGTATTGGTTAAAAATATCCATGAAGATTTAGGAAATAATACTAAAAGATATTCATGGATCTACATAGTTATTATGGGTGATCAGAATCCTTGACTATGAAGGATATCCTTTTTTCTTGGGGAATAAGCCGTTAAATCCTTATAAATAAGGATCTCAGGTTCAATTTCTAGACCTAAGCTCTTAAGATTACTGAAATACACGATTAAACATCTGTTTGCTGACTTGAGCGTCGGAGTGTCTACGCCGAGGCCTGCCCCGGCGCTTTGCAGGTCGATCCGGTTCTTGAAGACGAAGGCGATCGAGATGTCTCAACTCTCACGCAATCGAGATTAGGCGGTTCGACCGGCAACCTCGATGAGTCAATTATTTGATGAGATAAAAATTTTATTGAACCGAATATGAATTTTGGGTTATTAAATTAATAATATTAGAAAAATAAATATACAAAAATGTAGTTATTATTATGAATTGTGGACTAACATTAGTCTAATTTGTACTAATTAGACTATGAATAGTAAAATTGGTACAAGATTGTCAATAGTGGTGGGCAAATTTATGCCTATAAATACATGTTAATTTCATTGTACATACACACACAAAAATACATTAAAAGAGAAGAGAAAGAAGAAGAAAAATTTATCTTCGGTTTCTACATTTGTGTTCTTTATTTTCTTAGTATTCATAACACGTTATCAGCACGAGCGCTCTACCCGGTCACAAAGGTATGAATATATATATAAATATATATGCAATAAAATTATAATTTTTTACTAATTTACATATTACCATTATTATGGACGAGTAAGGCTCTGCCATAGTCAATAATATGTGGTAAGATGATATTATTAAATTTATTTATGAATTACTAATGATTAAGAAATATGACTTCAAATTATAATAAATATACATAATATTACTACTTGTACTTAACACCCACAAAATGATTTAACCAATAATGTGGTGTGAATTTATAACTACTTATTCTTGTACCCACCGAAAGATTTATCGAGTAATGTAGAGTGACATTTTTATTTGTTTTGTTACTTATATTCACTAAATTGTTCACATAGTGA